CCGAATCCTGAAAAACGAAATAACACAAATCCGAATTTAAAACGAAACGAAACGAAACAAATTTTTTGGCAGTGCACATGTCTAGAGTAGACAAATATATGGCAGATGAGGTTTAATGTCGATAAATGTAAATTAAATTAATCTATCTGTGGAGTAGCACCCCTGAGCCATATACATGAGGAAGTAAGTGACAAGCGCCAGAGAATCATTGTGGATACTGAACATTGCTATAGGAGATGGTCAGAGACTACAGACATGCTACAGAGCATTGTCAGAGCTTTCAGACATATTATAAGAGACAGCCAGACTGCAGATATATTACAGGAGACCACTAGATATAACTGCTATCACAGCCACTTTACAAATCAGTTCTCCCGCATTACTTGTGCCAACAATATCCAAAGTGAGATGGTGTGAAAGAAATGAACCAATACATTTAACTACTAGAATCCAGTCTAAAAGAAATTATTCCTTCAAAGGCTTTAGTAAGCACCAAAACACAGAATAATGTCTGCAGAGTCCCCCGAGGATTGCTGCAGGGCTGTATGTGGCCCCGGGTGTAATTGGGCACCAGGACTTTATATCATTTTAAAAAATGTCACCACTACCACTCAACCTTTAATATTCTTTTCGCGAAAAATTCTGGGCCATCTAAATCTCTCTAATCTCCTAATGGCACCTTAATAAAAATGGTGTACTGTGATAATTGATGGGCACTAAAATAATATTTAGTATTGTGATAACCGCTGGAGTGCTAACAACTGGGTAATGTAATTAATGATGGGCACACAATGAATTGAGGGCTGCTGAGAGACAAGCTGATCCCTGTAAGAATACTGGTCTAGGGGCCAAAGATACCATCAGCAAACAATCTATAACACATTACAAATTTACGAAGGAAAAACAAACACTACTCCAAGCGACCACATGACATATTTCAGTGGTAAGAGTGTTAACGATCCCACTGCTGCCACCAAATGCCATAGACGGTTGGCAGGTAGGGGCGCCGAGGGGTACAGAGATGCAGGAAGGGCCGGATGAAGTGCAGGCTATCTCCGTCCTTCGCTTGTCCTTGGAGATCTTCCAGCGTGCTGGCAGATCATCGCAAGAACCCCCAGAGCGCATCCAAGTCTGCAGGCATGATGGTGAGGCTGTACAACACAACACGCACACACAAATGAACTAATCTAAGCTGCCACCACCCACAACTTACAGGCTTGTGGGGAACCTTCCCCTGGACTCTCCTAGTCCATACACTCTGTGCTCAAGCAGAATGGCACACAGGCTTTGCAGACCACACACATGACTCTCACTAGCAGGTACAGGTTAGCTAAACCCGGCACAATTACCTCTAGAGTTAGTAACTCCACCCACAGTCTCCTGCACTACCGCTGGCCACCACTGGGGGAGACTCAACCAACTCAAGCTTGCTGGACACACCAAGGCAGATGCAAATCTCACATACAATCTAGTGTACACTACGCATTGTGTGACAGCTTAAGTGGTTTCCTCACACCCACTAAGATTCCCCAAGCTATCCTCTCAGCTAGAACCTGTATATCCACTTCTTTCACACAAACCCACATCAGACACACAGATCCCTGCATGGCAAGGACTTACAACCGAGCTTCTAGGCACCAATGATACACAAAAATCGGCTGTATGCCTACAACACACACAACAGTGGTTTCAGATTCATGCGTTCTTTTAGAGCAATCAAAATCCAGGTTATTCATTTCATATTTAATATCCCTAGATTGGGTGTGCATAGGAAAAGCTAGTTACAAAAAGCAGATGTTAAAAAATGAAACATACATACATACATACATACAAGCAAACATTATGCAAATAAAACGGGATAAAACTTACAGAAATTATTAATAATGCTGCTTTCGGGGTTAGATGGAAAAACGTGGACACAGTCCCATATGAATGGGAACCTTGAATGTGACAATTGTTTTGGTTGCAGATCTCCATTATTATACTAGGAAGATCAAAACCAGTTTCCACCCCCTGAGATCAGCCAATCAGATGGAAAGGCTGGAGGCGGAATATTAACACCTTTTGTCTTCTGGTATAATTGTTCTATTGACAATCTTTAAACCTCATAACTGTTTCTAGTTATTATGGTCCCGAAATTATGGAACCCGAAAGTGATGGTTCTGGTTCCAGCTACTGTCATGCTATCTGCAGAGTCCAAACTCTGGCACTCTATAACTAACAGAACCAGAAATACCATAAAGAGACCCAATTATCAGAACTCCTCCATACTGTATGATAAAACTCTCATGTTTATTGTCAGTCAGTTCACCTTTGTGCCACTGTCCCTTCGCTGAAGGTTCTACGATCATATAATGTATGGGACAGGAGTTATGAGATATGACCTTTTTGAAGCATTTTGAACATTGAAATACATACATGGTGGCGTGACACTTTTCCAGTCTGGTGACAAACCCCCCTGGAGACATTTTGTCTTGAGCCTTCAGGAAGAGTATACATTGCTGAAGGGTTCCCTTCTGGGGAAGCACAACAAACCCACGTTTGATTTAATTAACACCTTCTAGCTAACAAGTTTATGTAAAGTTTGTTAGCTTCCTGACTGCATTCAGTAAAATAAATTGACTCAGGATGTCTTATGACATGAGGCCAAAAAATATGATATTTGTATGGCCTCACCATGAGACAGCCAGATAGAGATCTCTCCAAATGTCACTTCATTTTAATGTGGCATAAAAACAGCAAAGTAAAATCCTTGCTGTTTGTATGCTGAATTAACACAAAGTGACATTTGGAGAAGATCCCCGTCCAAGTGCAAGTTTTTGTAGCATCATGGACTGACAAGGTGCAGCAGGAACTTTTGATGTGCTGCGAGGTTACTGCAGGCATGCAGCTTTGAGCTGGTTCAAAAAACATAACTTACCTGGTAACCAGGGACGCCCATCTGTCATTACGATGAGAGCTTTGCAGAGCCGGTGGTGACATGAAAGCCGACTCTGCTGAGCTCTCATGGTACTGACAGTTCAGCGTCCCTGGTTACCTGTTAACCAGAGGGCTTTGAAACCACCGCCGGCCAATAGAAAACAGTTGGGCGGAGCTGTCACTACTAGCTCCGCCCAATCGTTTTCTATTTTTTTTCTACTTTTTTAAACTGTTTTTCTATTCTGCTCAGTACCACAGAAGGTACTGAGCAGAATAGTAGAGCCGAATGCAGCTCGGCAATGTAATTGCTTTTCCTTGGGTACTCTTTGTTTGCCTCATTTAAACCATGGCGAATAAGATTAAACACCAAACTATTGAATTATTGTTGAAAAAAATCAGCTGTTATTGTGTAAGCACTGTATATGCAAAAAGTAGGTCAATGTATGCTGTATTTAATATATATTGCCTTTTCTATATTGTTATGTTTTATATAGATATATGCTATCCTTTGAAAACATTAATGTTACTGTTGCCATATAAAGTTTTGCTTGTGTGATATATTAATTAGATAATATTAGCTATTGTTTTGTTTGCTTATCACATCTCAGAAGGGGGGGTAAACAGCAACCTTATTTAAAACCTCCAATCAGGTTACACCCAATGTACATTTGGTAGCCAGTGTACAGAAAGGAGGGTATATTAGGTATTGTTAGCAAGCCACGTGCTCTCTTTTTGACCTGGGACACAAAGGCATTCAGTATGAACAGGCGAGAAGCTGAGAGGTAAAACTCCACCACACTTCTACATTGTCTTGTAAATATTGTTTTGTGTGTTATTTGTAAATATGTAACTCTACCAATAAATGTGTATTGCTGATGGAACTACTTCTTTTGTCTAACAATCCTCAGATCTAGGTGTGTTTATGTGAATTTTATTGTAGTCATTGAAATATATTTACATATCCATTTCACCTGGGTAACAGTTACCTCCTAATTTTTTTTTAAGTTTCAAAAATACATTTCAAAAGTATGGGAAACCTCCAACCCCCCCATGTTTTAAGGCACAATGAAAGACAATAACCGATGTACAAAGGAAAACAATGTTGGTACTCAAAAACATCTCCTACAACCCATCCCTAGCTTCATGGACCATCTAGTTTCCACATGTGTATTGCACAGACACATAATTCTAATTTTAGCCTATACAGAAGACCAGTATCTAGTTGGAGTACATTTACTAACATGGTTTTCATCCCTTGTTATTTTATTACTCAAGTTTTCCATGTGTTTTCTTTTACTTACTCCCCAGTACTTTTCCATGTGGTATCTCTTATATACTCTTACTTACTCTACAGCATGGCAATATGATTGTTCTTTCCTGGTTACTCTTTATTTGCCTCATATAACCCATGGTGAATTAGACTCAACACATATTATTGTTGAAATACATTGGGCTTTATTGTGTAAGCAACGTGTATGCACAAAATAGATCAATGTGTGCTGTTTTTATATACATTTGCTTTTCCTACCTTTTGTATTTTTTATATATTCTATCCTAAAAACTGTAATGTTGCCTCTTAAAGTTTTTAGGAAACCAATAAATATTCATCTTAAAAGAAAAAAGTATAAAAAAAATAATAACCCTGAATGTTAATTGCTAGTACTGTGATATGAATCTACCTTTACTCAGCGTTACCTACCTGCAGCTGGTTTGTAAAACATGGTCTTGCTTGTTAGCTTGGTATTTCACTTTGGTCTTCTGTCTGTCTGGGGCAAATCAGAGACCCGCAGGCTTATTTACAAAGGGTGAAGAGTTTGGAGAAGGCAGGAGAAGTGAACAATCTAGGCCAAAATACCTAGTTTGGAGGAATTCTCCAATTCAGCTCCTTTCCAGTCCAGCCTTCTCCAAACTCTTCACCCTTTAGTGAATAACCCTGCTAGACTTTTTGAGAGTACTGCACAGAAAATCATGATGAAGACTAGTACCTATTTCTTGTCCTTTATCACATATATTTTTGCCAACAATGTCTCCTGATTCAAAATAATGAATGACTACAACAGAAACTTGAATTCTACGATATGTCAAATGTCTTTGTGCAACCTCTCCACCTTCTGTCCAAGTTTGTCCAAAATATATTTTCTGGAATTTCTATTAGGTTTTAAGATAATTATATAACATTTTGGAAAAAACAAACATCCCAGTAATCCAGCACTGGAAGTCAGTATGGCAAATATCTCCACAGCCACCATGTATTTTCCTCTGGTACTCAGATAGGCCGGGATCATGGCAATCCAGACACTGCAGAACACCAGCATGCTGAAGGTGATGTACTTGGCCTCATTAAAACTGTCCGGTAATGTCCTCACCATAAAAGCCAGAACAAAACTCACAGCTGCCAGAAGCCCCATATAACCCAACACAGAGTAGAACCCGATAACTGACCCTTCATTACACTGAATGATGATCTTCCCAGGATAGGAGTGCATGTCATACTCTTGGTAGGGAGGAGACACTGACAGCCAAATAACACAGATCAGAACTTGGACAGAAGAACAGATTATGACAACAGAATGAGAAATCTTCTCGCCCACCCACTTCCTCCAATAACTGCCAGGTTTGGAGGCTTTGAAGGCAATGCAGACAGTTATAGTCTTGGCCAAAACACAAGAGACAGCAATGGAGAAGAAGATCCCAAATGACATTTGTCTGAGCATGCAGGTTATATGGACAGGATGACCAAGGAACAAGAAGACACAGAGGAAGCTCAGCAAGATGGAGGTCAGGAGAATGAAGCTCACAGTCCGGTTATTTGCTTTCACTACTGGAGTGTTTCGGAATAATATAAACAATGTCAGTATAGAGCCAGTTACAGCAGAACATAAAAGAGAGATAAGGTAAATAGCTTGAGTCAGTATGTCACTGTGGTAGGACAGATATTCATGTGTTTTGAGCATACAGCTTGTTTTTCTCTCATCTGGCCAGTGGTCATTAGGGCATTTGTGACATATTTCACTGTCTGCAGAATAAAAACACATGTGAAATTTTCACAATGATAAATTTGATGTAAAATATCAATAGGCATCTGTTCTTCAATAAGCACATGACAGTGTTAATTACCTGTTACATTGGAAATTTGCCCACCAGAACATGGCACACAGCAATAGCAGCAGGCATGGATTCCTACACTGGGAGCTTTCCTGGATCCTGGAGGGCATGGATTACTGCAACGAGCTTGGGGAATCTGAAAGAAAAATTATTAAACATGATATGTTTATATCTATAAAAAATAAATCAAGGCAACTGGACTTGCTGTATTTTTTCTTTAAGACATTTCACTGCTCATCTGAGTAGCTTTATCAATTCTGTATACCTTTTACAAAAATTCTCTGGGAATAAACACAGCGGATGTTTCTCCAATCAACATCATCTGTTTATCATAAACAGCATGAGGTCAGAGACCTCATGAAGGTATGGTGTTGATTGCATTTGCATGATCGGGGCTACTAGGTGTTATTAATCTTCCTAAAGAAAGGTGTTAAAACAGCATTGTATGTAGCAAACAATAGAGGTCTACTGTGTATTTCTCATGTCATGTTTAAATGCTATCATAGTTTTCTTTCTTTTTATTTGCTTTACACTGTCAAATCATTTAATATTCACAATCCACTTTCATCATACTTTGCATTTCATTTCATTTTAAACTCTTCAGTTAAATTAAATTTTAATAAATTGTTACTTGTTTCAAAACATTTTATTTTCCCCTGTGCTCTCCTGTGGCCACGTGTGGCTTGTGACCAATTTTTTTATTATCAAACGACAGGTCATTTTTACATCTGTAATTTGGTTTTAAATACAACAAATATTTTTTTTTTTGAAAGTTTTTTGGAAAGCTTACTTTGCCGTGTTTCCATTTGAATTTCTCAGAATAATCTTCTGGCTTGCTTGATGTTGGTAAACTCTTATTGGATGTTAAATATTGTACCTTGAAATTGAGCTCACCCAGCGTTGTATCAGTATAGATCATGTTTCCTACAAAAATTGTAGAGGGTATTTCTCCTCTTTCATTAAAGGAGATCATCTCTCCAGTGAAACTGGTGTACTCAACTGTCCGGATGTATCTGCGCAGCTTTCAAATAAAATGTTTTTTTATTACAACATTTTGTTCACAAAATCACCATCTCACAGTTGTCATGGTCACTACCAGCATTCATTTTTTTATCCAAAATAATATGAATTTACAATTTTGTTGTCAATCTATTATTTGTATTATATCATTGTTTGATTTTTGTTAAGGTCTATTAGTTTATAGTGGTTTAGAGCCATGTCATTTTGTTCATTATTGATATTCATATGATTTTTGTTAAATCTGGACATTCGGATGCATCCAAATTTGAACGTGTCCAAATGCAAATTAATCTGAATGTCCATTTAATGAAATTCTGATTCATCCAAATTGTGTTTCAAATGAAACTAAATCGGACATGGAACTGTTCTCTGGCCAATCAGATTTTGTTGGGCTGTTGTTGGTTGCATTGCAGGTAAGGTCATGTGACTTAATTCCAAAATGAAAATTTGGATCGTTCTGAAACAAAACTTCAGATGGATCCGGAATATGAATAACGAACCAAATCAAATATCAGATCCAAAATAAAAAAAACAGAGAAATACAAAAATCTGAATTGATGCATGTATCCAGAGATTGCAACTCAATTGATAATAATAAAGCGCTCTGCGCCAAAATGTTAATACTACACTTAAAGCCAGTAAACCAATAAATATATCAATACATCTCACTTCATTCATCCACCATGAATGAAGAAACACAATTAATAACAATAAAGTGCTCTAACAGACTACCAATCAAAGTGGTTTAAACAAAGTACTCCAACAACTTTCCACTTAATAGTGATAGCAATAAAGTGCTTCAGCAATTCCATAGAATCATTCACTGAAGTGATCCAGACCTCAAAGTGTTAATGTCCACACAAAGGTGCTCCACAATCCAAATAGGAGTGCATTCAGTGACTTCCGTGTCCAATTCAGCAAGTTTCCACCTCACTCACCAGAACTGTTGGACCATCTAGTAAAAATGGTCAGATAGCATTCCTTAATTATCAGCATGTGAGTGTTTTTAACTGATTTGTATTCTCTCTGAGCCATGCTTAGAGTATTTGAGGAGTGTGAAAGAAATATACTATATTATACGAGAGGAGCATTGGGGTCCTTATCCTTACAGCAGAAGGGAGAACACTACTATCCACCTCTACACCCTGAAGGGGAGATAATTAAGGAAAGCTAGCTGACCCTATTTACTAGTTGGTCCAACAGTTCTGGTGAGTGAGGTGGAAACTTGCAGAATTGGACACGGAAGTCACTGAATACACTCCTATTTGGATATTGGTTTATTTATTTTTGTGCAGTACACTGGGATATTATGTATTGTTTTTCACCATTAATTAAATGGTAAAAATACATTCAGGTACATAAAAAAGACACATTGTTGTTCATAGTTAGTGTATCACTCAGCTGTAGATCCTCCAATTATCTCTAAATTGGTGCTGACACTGCACTTCCTTCTGGAGGGGGGCTACTTTTGTTCCCCATGGTCCCTGTGTGTGTTTTAAAGTAGCCACAGTTCCATGCTCGCTCCCGTGATAGACTACAATCTCTATACAAACTAGTAAATGAAACATGAGATTGTAGTCCATCACAGGAGTAAGCGTGGAACAGTGGCTACTTTACAACCCACACGGGGACCATGTGGAATAAAAGTAGCCCCCTTCCAGAAGGAAGGACAGTGTCAGCACCAATTCAGACATACAGTATATATAAAAATGAACTGTGCCAATAAGCAAGCTAACAGCTACAAGGCACTGGAATGAACACCTACTGTGAGCGTGTATACATAAAAAATTAATAACATAGGGGTCTATTCACGAAGCTGCCAAAGGATCTGGCCGTAGCTTCGGCCGATCCTTCGGCTAGCTTCGGCTCCAGGACCCCTTCGGTTCAGTAGAACCGAAGGGGTGCTGTACGGGCTATTCACAATAGCCCGTACAGCTCCCGATCATGGCCGAGCCGGACGCATATGCATCGGCTCGGCTAAGCCGTGCTGAAAGCCGAAGCTGGCCGAGCGGCCGGCCAATGGCCGGCCGCTCGGCCTGCTTCTGACAGCTGGGCGGAGCCAGCCGTGATCTTACGGCTGGCTACGGCCACTTGCAGTGAGATCAGCGTCCCTGGTTACCTGCTAAACAGGGACACTGATCTCCAAACAGCAAACTCTCCCTGGTGCCTGGGAGTCTCCTGCTCCCGGCCACCAAGGAGAGAAACACTGCTGTGTCCTTTTTTCACCCCCCCCAACTGGGGGGGTGTCCACCATGGGAGTACGTCTGGTGAGACACCTCTGGTGACCTGCCACTCTACTATCCCATTCTCTGGTTTCTTTCTGAATCCTCTGTATTCCTGCTGTGCAGGAATCTGATCTTTCCAGTCTTCGTCTTCCCTCATTCTACCTTTCTGTGTTCCCCATCTATTTCATGTTGTCTCTCTTCTTTTCTCTCCCATGTAAGGAGCTATAGTTTCCTACTGACCATATTGCCTATTGACACCAATACAACCACATTTTTGCTATACCTGGAGGTATGGCCAGCTTGTTTGACTTTCTCATTATAAGAAGGACATTTGTATTTCATTTCAAATACTTTGCTGAATTGGGTATTCCTCTCTTCTTTTTCTTACCCTTTTTTATTCAATGTTTTTTGTATTTTTATTGTTTTGTTGGGTTTTATTCTGAACATTTTGCTGCTTCTGTATGTACCTTTTTATGCTCAATAGTGGGAGAAAAAAAAAAGAAGAAAGGGCCAAAATAGCCTTATACGAAGACAAGATTTGTAATACAGTATCATAATTGATAAGATGCTTTACATCAAACTGGTACCCTTCATATGTAAACATAAAATACAAATATCATATGTATGCATATTAACCTCCCTGGCATTATGATTATTCAGGATTTTAGCATCCAAAAGCGGTACATTGTTTTTCATGGAATTTCTTTTTTTTTTTTTTAGCAAATAGTCTTTATTTGAATTTTATCAATAAGAAAAACAATAAGACATTTCAGTCTGCCCTCCATCGGGTGCAGACGGCACTTTGTAAAATACACCATAAAACAAGATATAACAAATCATAATATGATATCATTGAAGGTATCAATATACAACGTTACCGCAGTCAACAACGCATTTAAAAGAGATGCAAACCTAAGGTATAACATTGTTTTGTTTCCAAACAAACTAGAGAACAAGTAGGCATCACAATCACCTGGTAGCAACGTAGGTTCACCTGAACCTGTTGGATTCTTGATGAGTCTATATAAGTTCAGAGGGAATGAGATCGAGCATGGAGAATAGAAGTATATGAAACGAAATGAAATATAGGGGGACTAGGGCGGTCACATTAAGATAAAATAAATTGAAGTTAAAATGTAAATGTAAATTAAAATTAAAATTAAAATAGGTGGATGCTGAGATGGTGGGGAAGCACCCAAGCAGAACAGTAAGTACATTAAAGGACATCTAGGACCCCTAGAGATCCGTCCAATTTTGCAGTGTGATATCAGACCGTGTCTTTGAACAATATCATGACTTCTATCAGCTGAGTGGGTGATAGGGATGATGCAAGGAATGAGGTCCATGTATCAAAGAATTTTGCTGTGGACGGGCTGTTATACTGGGCATCAAGCTTGTCCAGTGGCATCAGTTTGGACAGTATGTCTGCTAGCTGTTTTAAAGAGGGGGTAGTCGGCGAGATCCAATTCGTCAGAATGGCTTTTTTTGCTGCGAGAATGCACAGATGCTCCCAACGTGACAATTTCTTGGTTATCGTTGATTGTGGAGGCCCGGTGGCATGAAAAAGGCACATAGCCGGGTCTCAGGGTCTGCTAGAGCCTGAATGGGTATTCATGTATGTTACCAGATGACCCCAGAATTGCTGTATAAGAGGGCATCTCCAAAACAGATGTTCTAGGTCTGGATATGGGCACTGGCACTTGGGACAGAAGGGCAACCAATCCGGGGGAGTGGACTTGTATTTCAGGTTAAAGGCATAATAAGCTCTGTGTATGACTTTAAACTGGAGTTCTCTCCATGATTTACTAATGATGGCTTTCCGTACTGCATGCCAGCCGGAAAGCAGCATGTCATTCGCATCCTCTGGCGATATTTGGAGGAATGTGGCCCATTTAATCACTTGTTTGTGGTAGGTAGTAGGAGCTTTTGCATAGACCGCGATGCGAATGGTGTTAACTCAGTGATGTGCAAACTTGGTACTCTATTTACTGTGGTACGGATCAGGCACTGCCCCCAGAATTCCCATTTACTGGACCATTTTTTAAAATTATTTTATTATAATTTTTTATAATTATTTATTATATTATAATTTCTTATGATTGTGAAAAAGTGTCAGGCAGGGCACAGGACAAAGCTCTAGGGACTAAATTGAAGTGAAATAATTTGATACATAACTGTAATCATAGCAGATTACATTGTATTGTGTGTATTCTGTATATATTGCATGTTTTCCCTTTTGAATCTCCCGCCGGCTGTGACGCCCGAAAGCGAAACTAAAAGTCAGACGCCGGCATCTGACTTTTAGTTTTGTTTTCTGGCCGCGTACAGCAGAGAATGCCGCGGGCTTGCAGGGACACGGTAAATGTCACTTTTCTGTGCATTCCTGATTCTGGCTCGGCGTTACCGCTCCTGGTATTGAAAATTAACCCCAAGCCAGACTCGGGAATACCCCCAGGGAGGTTAAATGCAGCACTTGTCCCTTTCTCTGCTCCTAATTGGAATGTATTATAATTATAACATTTAGAGGAATATATATATATGGAAATATACATACTTTTTGCCTTAATCCATACTTTCCAAATGTATCTTTACTTAATTTTATATTGTTTAAAGCATGAGCCAGCACATATACTGCAGTGTAAGTGAAATACAATTTTGAGTTAAAATTGCTATTGAACTGGTATGAGATTGATTCTGTCCCAGTGCAAGTGACATTAGGGAGAACATATATTGATCTAAATCTCTTATTTTTAAATGGATTAGAAGAAAGACAATTAAACTTCCAGAGCCAAAGATCTTCTAGTAAGGGATCAGCAGGGCGTTTCCTCGGAACCGAGTTATGTATGTAAAAATGTAATCTAGGAATGTAGCGGTTAGGATAAATAGGTAAAAAGCTGCAGTTAAATGTTTCCATTAGACTCATGTATGGATATAAAAAGACATTCCATGAGTCATTCAGTATGAATGTGATATTTTGTAAAAGAGATTTTGACTCCTTAAAAAAGGCAGCATATTCAAATCGAAAATGACCACATACTATGACAACATTGGTAGTTGACTTCTCAATGTTCACCGTTTTATGTCTGTTAATGTCTACATAATTAGTCAGGTAAATGACAAATTCTATACAGATCCCATGTCTAATCATCTCTTTTCTCAGATCCCGCAGCTCTGTCTCTCCTGTGCCATCATTTGATACAATGATTCCAACCAAATTCCAACCAAAAACCTTTAGGATCCTTAGAACCATCTCATACCAAAACCGGTTACTTTGAATAGTGCGGTAAAAGTTTGGAAACTTTTCTCTGTCACTCAGGAAAAGGTCAGCAACTTGATGGCTTATCTGTAGAAACACAATATAAGAAGCTGATATGATTGTTTATTGGGAGCCATTCTATCCGATCTTTGAAGAGAAGGTTGATGTCATCATAGTTTCTCAAAATGTGGGGCACAAGGATTTTGGGAACCTATAAAGGGAATGTTATTGCACACTAAGATCCTCTTTTTTTCAAACTCTAAGCAACAACATCCAAAACAAAAAAAATATAGGAACTGCTTAGTTTTTGGCTGATCTGAAGATGCATAACATGTGAGGCTTTAAAGAGAATGTGAATGACCTCAGGGTTTCCTAAAGTGTGTGGTACAAGGATTTTACAGGACTATAGGGATAATACTTTTGCTTTTAAACCTAATCAATAGTTCAGATCTATGCAAACTTTAAGTAAGGCGTTTGATAAAAAAATTGTAACCAGTGACCATGTAACTCTTTTATATATGTATGCTAAACAAAAAATGTCATTCCACCAATCATCTACCCATCTGGAAATCCCACCCACTTCTTAGTGGATTGGGTGACTGAGTTTCCTTAGCTATATTGGATGTTGGGGACTTGTAGAGCACAGAGTAGTACATCCTATGTACAAATAAGTAACTCTGCATACCCTGAAGCTAAAAAAAACAGCAATTTTCAGACCTAGCCAAAAAAAAACAATACAAAGACATTTCAAGGGTTAATAAAAAATGATACAGAAGGCGGGAGATCACACTGGCAAACTGACTAATGTCTGTGGTTGCACCATTATAGTTTATTCATCTGAGCTCTGAAGGTTTGAGGGTTGGTCATATAGTTCAACCAATGATGCAAGAATGCAGTCTAACTGACCTAATACTGATCACTCCCTGCAATGTTCTACTATGGGGTCTATTCACGAAGTTGCCGAAGGATCTAGCCGTAGCTTCGGCTAATCCTTCGGCTAGACGATTGACAGCAGCAGAGGGCGGGTAAATTAGCTAGTTTGCTATTGCAAATTGAAATAGCCAATAGGAATCTAGCAATGCATTTGTATGGCCAAAATGCATTTTATTTTTTCTATTCTGACACGGCCCCGTGTCAGAATAAAGAAAAAGAAAGAAAAAGCAGTGTTTCTCTCCTTGATGGCCGGGAGACTGCCGGAGCGCACGGGAGAGTTTTTTTTCTTTTTTTTTACAGCAGCAGAACCGCTGGCCAATAGAAAACAGTTGGGCGGAGCTAGCTGTCACTGCTAGCACCACATAATCGTTTTCTATTTATTTTTTTCTACTTTTCAAACTATTTTTCTGTTCTGCTCGGTACCACAGAGGGATCGAGCAGAACAGCTGAGCCGAATGCCGCTCAGCGGCATTCGGCTATTCACTCACTGCTGTTCGGCATCTATAAGAATAGGCGGAACTGCAGCGAGTAGCCTGCCGGAGGTTCGGCTTAGCTGATCCAGATGTTGGATCGGCCGAGTCAAACTCCTTCTGCACTTCGGGTCGGCCAAACATGCTGAGCATGTTTGGCCGACCCGAAGCCACCCGATATACGGCTGAAATCAGCTGTACCAGCCTGAAGTGAATAGCCAAACAGCCTTCGGCTCACTTCGGTTTAGGTCGGTCATCCACTCGGCTGCCTACGGCAGCTTAGTGAATAGACCCCTATATCTACGGTGTCATAAGGCCTCCTACTACATAGAAAGGACCACCTAAACTATCATTGAGCCTAACAATAAGGTCAATTTACAAACAAAGAAATGGCCCTGAAAAACTCCATGAACATTTGTTCTGTGCGAATGAAACCAAAAATGAATGCTCTTAGTATATTTTCTTTCCAGTTTGAATATACTATACATAAAATACCAC